GGGAATCCCTGTCCCCAGAGCACAGCCAGCCCCTCAGAGGAATCCATCCTTGCAGAGGGCTGTTCCCACAGTCAGGAAGGAGGCTGAGCCTTTCACCAGGGCAAAAGAAGGTGCCACAACCAGAGTGTGGCACCCACTGGACACCAGATCTGTCAGGTGGTGGGGAGAGCTGTACTGGGATGGCCCAGGGACTCTCCCCAGCCCCATGTGTGCTGCAAGTGCCACTTTCAGTGCCCAGCCTTCATCTGAGAGCAGGCCCACTGCAAAAATCACCTTATCACAAAAACCCACCCTCTCACCAGGCCAGAGAGGCACCCAAAGCCTCCCCACTGCCCCCCTGCAGTGTTTCTGTGAGAGGCAGCCTCCAGGGACCCCTCTGAGGGTCCCCTCCCAGCCTCCTGGTGGCACCCCCACAACCCTGTAAGCAAAGGTTTGCTCCCAAAATGTGAATGCAAAGAAGAAAAGAGAGACAACCTGAAGGAAATGCTCTTCTTGGCTTCCTTGCAGGAATCAGATGCTGGAATGCTCCCAGGCTGGCTCCCAGAACACCCCATCCTTTCAGAAGAGCCCATCTCTCCACCTGGGGCCAAGGGCACAACCCCTGTGCTGCACATCTGGGAGGTTCCTGCTCTCCTGCTCCATCCCCAGCCCCTGCAGCCCTGTCACCCTCTCCACGAGGCTCCTGGGGAGGTGACCTGCAGGTCACTGTTTCCCAGAAGAGAAGTCTGAGAGAAGTCTGCTGGGAGAGCCCCATCCTGCCGTGGCTCACTGCTGACTCACAGACACATCCCTCACTCTGTTCCCCTTTCAAAGGCCAATTTCCCACTGCTGGAGAGCCCGATGGCACCTCCAGCTGGGAGGTTACTGTCCCCTTCACCCTGGAGCCAGCTGGTCCCTCTGGCTCAGGGCAGACCAGCAGCCATGGGGTGGGGAGGGAAGGGTGGCACGGGGCACATCCTGCTTGGCAAGGTCTGTGCCTGAGCCAGGGGCTGCCCCAGTGTCCCCTCAAAGCCTGGGCTGGCCAGTGCAGGGGTGCACACCCACCCCTGGGGTCCAGCACGTGGCAGAGCTGCTGGTCACCGCGGGTTGGAAGGACCACTCCACTTGTGACCTGCCCCAAAACACCCCAGGAGGAACAGCCAGGGTTTGCAGGGTCCCACAGCGTGGCCAGTCCAGGACTACTGAAGTCTGTGGGGGAACAGGAGGTGGGAAAGCAAAAGTCTCACATTTTCTATCCAACTGCTCCACTCCAGCCACAGCAGACGCTCCATCACCAGAGCTCTCATAGACCAATTAGGTCCCTCAGAAGAAAGCCCAGCACTTCATTATAGCCTGACAAAGACACCTCTTCACCTCTCAAGATCTCAGGAAACACAGCCAGATCTGTTTTGGTCACTTCTACTTAGGGGCACTAAGCTTCTAAACCAAATATCAGACTCTGAGTGCATTTTTCCAAGTGCCTGGGAAAATGCTGGGGAGCCTCATCCAAACACCCAGCACAGCCTGGCTGAGTCACAGCCCAGCTGTCACCAGCCCAGGGTGACATTGCCCTGGGACACGCTGAGCAAACCCAAGGGGAGGCTCAGCTCCTGCCCAGCCACCCTGGGAAAGCACAGAGGAGACAAGGAAGGAGCAGGAGGGAAGGAAGAGGAGTGCAGGATTCTGCAGTGAGTCGTGCCCTGGCCCAGCTCCAGCCACTCAAGGTGAACAACTTCCACTCTGAGCATTTGCACCCAGCTTTTACAATGGCTCATTATTCCACAGTGCCGCTGAGCAGTGTTTGCCCTTCTCCTCTGTGCCCTGGGGAGCTTTCCCAGACCCACCTTTCCACCTCACAAAGCACAAGGCCTTGAAAGCAGGAACACAGTAAAGTCACTGCAAAAGCAAAAAACCCACGGCCTTCAATCATTAGGGAGGTCCAGTGTGAACCAATTTTGCAGAGTCCTTGACTTGACAAAAGGGACTGTGCCAATGTCTGGGTGACTCTAAACCCGGTTAGAGCACTCAGCTACATGTGGGTTTAGAGCTGTGATTCTGCTTTCAGGCTGGGCTTCCTTATTTTATTTGAGAGCTCCAAACCTGGATGTTTGAAGACAAGAAAAGCAAGGTGCCTAAAAATAATGACAAAACATTTGATAAAGAAATCTGCCCCCAGTGGTAAGAATCTTAAGAGAAGACAAAAGTGAGATGTATCAAGGAAGATCCACAGGGAGAAGGGGGAAATAAACCTGTCCTAGTGCTGCCCAAGCTCCTCTTAGCAGCTTCTTATTCACATATTCTACAGCCATTATGTTTCTTTTCCAGGCTTCTGGTACATTCATTTAAAGGGAAGTTAAAATCAATCTTTTTTTCAGTGCTCCTTGCCCCAGAAGAAAGGATCAGAGCTGTCAGAACCTGCCCAGCTTTCGCTGGAAAGTTAAAGTGGAAATCAGCACCACTCACCTCTGCCAGGTAAAGGATGCAGAACTTGCGATCTTCTGAACCTGCAGAGAAGAAAAACCAGGATCAGAGCGAAGCTGCAGCTGCATTTCTGCAAGTGGAGCCACTGGCAGAGGAGCTGCCTAAGAGCCAGCACTGAATGAATGTTTGTTGTTGTCCCCCAGTACCAGGCTGTGACCTGGGTGATGTATGTGGCATCTGCCAGGGCCGGGCACGGCGGGATCCTGCAGGGACTCACTGCCCTGGCAGGGCTCCTCCTCTGGGCTTCTCCTTTGGAAAAGACTTTGCTTCATTCAGAGACCACGTGCAGGCTCTGCTGCCCAGCCTGCCTTGGCACATGCAGCCTGTGGGAGCTTCCCAGGGGCTGCACAGCTCCTGCAGCACCCACCCAGCCATCCTGGCAGTCAGGGATGGGTCTCTCCATCTTATCCCTGTGGGCACTTCGCTCCCAGGAGGACTGACAGAGAAACTCCTGTTCCTGCATCTCATTCCCAGCTTCTTGCCCCCGGTCCTGGCTGGTCCTGGTGGTCCTGCTGCCTGTCCCAGCCTCCAGCAGTGCCAGCAGCTGGGGCACTGCCTCTGCAAGGGGATGGAGCCAAACCCCAGAGCAATGAAGAAGCAGGCATGGGGCAGGGGAAATAAGAGCTCCTCCTGCTCTTTTGGGCTGAGGACAAACTGCCAGCACTGGGACACTGGGGAGAGCCAGCCAAGGAACTTCCACAGCTTTATGAAAGGAGATGGTGCTGGGGACAACACAATGACCAGCTCTGCCATCCACCTCCTGCTAAATCATGGAGCAGCCCAGAGCAGCTCCTCAGCTTGCTGCCAGGAATCCCAGGAGCTGAGTCAGACTCCAGCTGCTGCACCAGGCTGGTCCCTGCAGGTCCAGCCTTCCCTGCACA